AACTTCGTGGGAGGTGGGAGGGATGCAAAAGATAAGGAGGGACTGTGCTATTTGCTCAGGCCTCAGTGACTCCTTACAAGACTCCTGTGAGTTGTTTTTTCTGTTTTTAATTTACGTATGATGAAACTGGCTTATCGAGATGACGTCGAAACTGCTCTACAGGAAGGCCTGTGATGCGGTGGTTCTCAAAATGTGGTTCTTGGACCTCTGACTTCAGAATCACCAGGGAGCCTTGTAAGAGTGTATGCACATTCTCAGGCCCTATCCCAGACCTGCGGGGCGTCAGGCCCGGGGTCTGCATTTTAACATCTAGGGGATTTTGCTGCATCCTGTGGTTTGCAGACCGTGGGTTCAGGAGGGAGACTGCCTGGGCAGCTTCCTACCCACCTCCTTTTTTGCTCTGGGGCTTTGCGTAAATTGCTTAATCTCTCTAAGCCTTGATTTCCCCTTTTGTAAACTGGGGATAACAGTACCTACTTCATAGGTTTGTTGTGGTGATACAAAGTAGTTCATATCTGCAAAATGTTTAGAACAGCACCTGGCTCAGTTGCCGCCTTCCAAGAGGAGTGTACCTGTGGTGGCCACAGGGGTAGGGGGTTCCCCAGGGTGGTGGTTCCTCCCAGGAGCAGGTCCAATTGGGCCCCCGCGTGTAGGGAAAAGTTCTGGTCCAGGAGAAGTGGAAGATTAGTGTTGGGAATTCTCCTTGGACCTCCCAGTGCGATAGGAAGCGATGAGGGTTCAGGAATCTAAGGGAGAAAAACCGCAGCCTAGCGTGAACCTGAATTTAGGAGTTGAAAGAGAGCTCTTTACCTCTTCGATCACAGCTGCCCTATATGGTTTCAGTAGCAGTTAGGGCTCTCGATCTTAGGCTGGACTTTCCCCATGAGTTTTCAGGGCAGCTCTGGTTCCAGCTCTGGTTCTAGAGTGTGGCAAGACTCCCAGCTCCAGAGCCACAGACATCCCCCATAAACTCCTGCACTGGTGTCTGTGTGTCACCACTGTCCCTCACCTGGGGACACTACCAAGAATGGCCTCGATAACCCCATCATCATGTTTGCTGGAGAGATGCTATCCATCCTGTTTCTCGGCAGCTTTGCTAGGAAGCCCCACTGGAGGGTTTCCTTTAGCGTTAGCAGCCAGGATAAAAGCCTAAGCTTCCCCAGAAAGTCTGGTATGTGTCCCTCCTCTTGGTCAGTGGGGAAAGTAACTTCATTTCCCTTTTCTCTTTGCCTCCTGGGAGGCTTAGAGCTAAATGTGTCTGTGTGAGGGAGAAACCTTATGGCCTGTTTGTATGAACTTGCCCTTCCTTTCTGGTTTAGATGTTTTCTCTGCTGCTGATTTTAGTGTTTATATTTACTACTTTTTTTTCTACGTGTTTCCTCATCCTTTGTGGAACCAGGCTGGGGGTATGTAAAAACACTAGACAATGTAAACACACATGACACTATCTTCACAACTGCTTTGTTGGCATCTGGCATTTTTTCCTTCCTCAGCTTCATGGGACTGTATTTGCTTTCACGGCCATAATCCACTGGTCAGTTAGGAAACGTCTGAGGGTGATCAGGGTGGCTGCTTTTTGTTTGTTTGGTTTCTTCCTCATCAGCTGCATAGACTTTTTAAAAAATATTTTATTGTGTTTTAGGTGAAAGTTTACAGAGCATATTAGTTTCCCATTCAATAAATTGTACACAAGTGTTCCATGACGTTGGTTGCAGCCCCTACCCTGTGTCAACACTCTCCGCGTTTCTGCCCTGGGTTCCCGGTTTCCTTTTGTCTGGTTTACCTACCTCTTCCTGCCTTCTCGTCTTTGCTTTTGGGCAAATGTTGCCCTTTTGGTCTCATATAATTGTTTGTTCTATGGAGCACATTAGTTTTGGGTGTTATTGTTTATTTTATAGGCCTGTCTAGTGCTTGGCTGGAAGGTAGTTTCCGGGAATGGCTGCAGATCCCAGTGATAGGGGGGTGTCTTAGGGCTATAGTCTTGGGGGTTTCTCTGGTCTCTATCAGGGCTTTTTTTTTTTTTTTTAAATGAATTTGATTTTTTGTTCTACATTTTTCTCCCGCTCTATCAGGGACCCTCTATTGTGATCCTACTCAGAGTGGTTGCTTAGAATTTTTAAAAGACTTTCTCTCCAACCCCATTAGTTATCCAAAGCATAAACAGTACCCTAGTGGATAGGTGGGTGTGTTTATTTTTTCTTCTTCCTTCTTTCTTTCTAACTTATTTCTTTCGTATTACACAAGTATAACCTGCTATTGTAGAAAATCCAAAAATGATAATAAAGTGAAAAGGAAAAAAAAAATTAATTACCTGTAATCTCACCAGGGAAAACCATTTTTCAACTTTCTGTGATAGGGCCTTCTGGATATTTTTTGTATGTTTATATTTTTCCCACAAAAAACAGAATCTGACTATTCATGCTATTTTATAACATTTATTTTTACTTACTAGTAGACAATGAATATCTTTGTTATTACATATGCTACAACAATGAAATATATTTAAAATTTATATTAAGGATATATACACATAGTTAGATTTTTTAAGTATAGAAGGGCTTATTGTGAAAATTAACAACCGTGCCAGTGTTCCCTGGCATGCCTGGCTAAAAGGGACAACTTTTAATTATTTGGGGTTCTTGTTCCACAGTGGTTTCCTCCATATATTTAAATAAAATGTTTATTTCTTGACTTATCAAGCCATTCTTTTTTGACTTATCAACTGTGTTGTTGTTGTGTGCCATTGAGTCAATTCCAACTCATAGCGACCCCATATGACAGAGTAGAACTGCCCCATAGGATTTCGTAGGCTGTAATCTTTACGGGAGCAGATCACCAGGTCTTTTGTCCTGAGGAGCTGCTGGCAGGTTCTAAGTGCTGACCTTTTGGTTAGCAGCTGAGTGCTTAACCACTGCGCCACCAGGGCTCCTATTACCAACTTTAGACATGACTTATTGACTTGCTACTGAGAAAAATAAGGCTTTCCATCACTTAACATCACCCTTCCCCAACCCCTCCCAACATAATTTGCCACTATGTTTACTTCCTTTGTAAGTCACCTTTAAAATTTTAAAGTATACAGTTAAACTCTATTTCTTGTTCCATTAACCATTGACAGCGTCAATGGAGACACCACTTTCCTTCACTCCGCCTCAACATCACAATGTCTGTCTGTTGTACTTTAAAGTTTCCAGGGTCAAAGCTGATAACATTTACAGTCTGTTTAATGACCATAAGTCTTCCATGAGTGACTGTGGGATGGAGCTGAAAGTTGAAGACCAGTGACCACTGTTTATATTACTCTGCCCATGTAAATTGTGTCCACTGCAGGACCAAGGAATGGGCTATGCTTACCTTTCCTTCTCTTTGGTTCTAGTGCCACTCAGAGGAGGGTGTTAAATGTGTTTTCCTTCCTTATATTCAATCATGTGTTCAAAAACGATCACATTATATTTTGGTTTGCTTCATATTTTGGCCATGCCTTCAACATCATTTTTATCAGCTGCTTAGTATTCCATTGAATGGTGGAGTATCATTTATTTTCACCCAGTCCCCTATAGTTGGACACTTAGGTTGTTCCCAATTTTCCATTAATATGAATGGTGCTGTAATGAATGTTCTTTCATATATATATATTTTTTTTTTTATTGTACTTCAGGTGAAGGCTTACAGAACAAATAGTTTCTCATGAAACAGTAGTACACATTGCTTTATGACATTGGTTAACAACCCCACAACATGTCAACCCTCTAACTTCTCAACCTTTTTTTTGGTGAAAATACACATAGCCAAAGATACACCATTTTAAAAATTTCTACATGCACAGTTCAGTGACATTGACTACACTCTTCCAGTTGTGCTGCTATTCTCACTTAAGATGAAGGCTTGCAGAACAAAATAGTTTTTCATTTAACCATTAGTACACATGTTGCCCTATGACAATGGTTAACA